CTTAATAAAAAGAGACCTCTTTTCAGATGGTAAAGCCTATCTCCTTAAATAACACCCTTTTCATATCCATTGTTAAATATCTCAGTATTTGCATACATTTTAAAATGCTCCAGGAGCTTTTAAATTCCGAATTCTGATAGTAAATAATCAAACGGAATACATGATTCAATGGCATTAGGATGAATACATGGTATTTTACAATAGATCAAGAACTACGAGATTGGCTCCTGAGTGGATCTACATTCGGCGATAACGTTAGTTGACACATAACATTCACGTAATCGCTTTTAAGGATGTTTTATTAAATATTTTTGTAATGTACAGGGTTTACTACAACACCCCGTCACCCACTCAATTTTATAAAAAAAAAAGTGCAAAATCTTACAGCAATAAAGTCAATGAAATGCCGTTTTTCCATCAGAGACAGAAGAAAAAAAATGCAATGTTGTGCTGTGGACGAGTGGGTGTAATACTATGTGGAATAAAACTGGTCTACTATTCCAGAATTGATCTTCAACCGTAATGTGTCAACAACTTTGTCGCTAATTGTAATGTAGAATAACATGAGCTGTTTTTCCCCTCAAGATTCTTAGTCTAATCATTATGAATATTCAAGCTCCATAACATTATCTAACTTGTTGTCATATCTAATCTCTATTAACCCTTTAACTCCCATGAGTGACCAAGACATAATTTCTCCTTACTATATCCATACAATATCATGCAGACAAGTGATGAGAATAAAGACAAATATAAATTGTGGGATTACTAATTGATCTGATACCAAATTCTACCAGCTAACATAATGAGAATCATTTGGCAGACAGTAATGAGAATTACTAATAAGATCTTGAGATTTAAAGGGTTAAAATCATCTATGCATTGGATGGGAAGCGGTTCGGTTGTTTCTTCTACAGTAGTGTGATGGTCACCTGACCATGGCCAGCCTTATTGTAACAACATTCATTCTGCTGATTGTTTCCAACATTGTAGGATCCACCACCACCCCCACAGGAATCTGCATGCTTTTTCCCACTGCCTCCCCCAGAGTATCCTCCTCCTCCTCCTCCTCCTCTTGCCAAATATCCCTCAGGTCCACCTCCTCCGCCAAACCCACCATAGACGTCGGGATACCGTGATCTCCCACCCACCCCTCCCTGCAGAAATCCCTTACCACCCTCGCCACCATGTCCCTTGGTCCCATTGAAATTCGTTCCACTTCTTCCACTGGAGTAAAACCCGCCACCACCACCACCTGAAATATCATGATATTAATTAATTAGATAACTTTTAATGGGGATATCGTGAGATTATGGCAGAATAAACATTTCGTACGAAATTTTAAAATTACTACCAAAATGCTGAAATGCTAGAGATTATTGAAAAATATTCTTACCTGAGTATCCAGAATCAGCAGTCTGTGCACCATGTCCATTGCTTCCCCCTGGCCATGATTTGAACCCAGGATTCCCTTTCGTGTTTGTGCTGGCATCACATTCTGTATGTCTTGAATTTACACGTGCTACCCCTCCTCCGCCTCCAGCTATTATCAAAGGTGTGTTGGCTCCTCTCACTACAAATGTACCTCCACCACCTCCAGAAGAATAACGCCTCTTGTTTCTTCCTCCTTCTTGACCTACAAGTACCTGGATGACTTCACTCTTGTTTAAGCGGAATGTTCCAATAATTCTTGCTCCTCTTCCGCGGTACTGAGAGCTGTTAATCTCTAGATCGTACCCCCCAGCTGCCCCTACTGCTTCTATTCTGTAATCACCAGTGTACGGCACAGTCCACTGTTGAATACCACTGGACAGAGCAACTTGTCCGTCATGATCCTGACCTGTGTAGTAACTTCCGAGCGATGTTGGACCATATCTTCCAGTGGCATTGAGATTTGAGAACACGGCTTTGAATGCTGAGGGGAAAATGTAAAATTGACATCCATTTTTTTATCAAGTTGCATTGTCATCTTTATCACGAATGTTTGTGTACGTTCAGTCTGGCAGCTGGTTGTATAATCAGTTCAAGCAGCTGAGAGAACAAATACGTTACATTAATCTCGTAAAGGGCAGTTCAGATCTTAAGTTTTCCTACTCTGAGAAATTTGAAATTATTTTGACTGTTTGGAGGAAAATCTCATCACAGGAGGAGTCTTCCCCTTTAAGGGGTTTTCGGGCGGATTCCTATATACAGATATCAAGAAATGAACCACTTCAGCGAAATCTATGGAAAACTCGTCTT